GTTAGACTACCAAGGAAAACCTGGAAGTACTTGACAGTCTTTCCGTTCTAGTATGGAACTCTTCAGTAGTGTGTATTCACGATCCTACCCCCACCCCACGTGGGATTCGAACCCAGGATCTATCGTTCTCACGCGTGAGCGCTTAACAATTAGACCAATGAGATGATCGGCATCCAACAGTGTTAATGTTTAACTTCAACCAATCCACGAAAATGTGTTACTGTGCACTATTGTGTTCAGTGAGCTGATATCTCACAACAGACCTGATTAAACTTCACTGGTCACTACTTCTCACTAGAACTCCAGGAAATACACACTGTTGAGAAGTCCCATACAAGAACGAAACGGCCGTACAGTGCTTCCAGGTTTTCCATAGTGATCTAGCTTCAATTGATGCATGATTTCAACTGTTGAAATTACTAAAATCTCCACAAAACCCCTTTTGATATAAATGCAATTGTTTATTTTTGACAGGTTCATTAATGTGAAAATGAAGGAAGTAATCATTCAAGATTTTAGAAGAAAAATCTATTAGTTTTACCCTCCACTTAGTTCACTGATAACTAATCCATCAAATTCTATTATTGTCTAACTCTTAGTGATATTAGGATTTACATAGTACCTATGTATGTGTGTGTGTCGATCATGATATGTAATTAATTTATAACTGATACAAACAATCAAATATATCTCATATTCAAAACAAACAAACAAACAATGAAGTATAGTTACTAATTAATGGATTTACAATGAAGTTGAATTATTCTTTTACTATCTTACCAATTCAACATTGTCTAGAGTTTTTTTTAAAAAGTTTATTACTACCAATTCAAAGCCTAGATAGAAAAGAGGAGAGAATAAACGTAGAGTTAGCATCTCAAACTAAGTAAAATGAAAATAAAGAACCCTTTTTTGAAAAGTAAAAAAAAACAGCTCTACTTTTCATACATTAACAACAGGAATTTAGATATTAAAGCTGGAAATCCGTTTAATCTTAAATTATCACAGTTGTCAGGATGGAAAGATTTTTTGGAGAGAAAAAAAACCTCGTCTACATATGTATTATTTCCATTGAATATTCAATCTTGATATAGTAAAATATAAAAAATAGATCTCATTGGAAATATTGAAAAATTGTTTTTGACGTTTTATTCTTACTTACTTACTTACTTACTTAATTACGCCTGTTACTCCTAATGAAGCATAGGCTGCTGATCAGTATCCTCCAACTCACTCTGTCTCGGGACTTCCTTTCGAGTTCTATCCAATTCTTGTTCATTCTTCTAATGTCTGTCTCCATTTCTCGACGTATTGTGTTCGTTGATCTTACTCTTCTATTTTAGCCTTGCGGATTCCATGTGAGGGCTTGTCTTGTGACATAGTTAGATGCTTTCCCCAATGTGTGTCCTATCCACTTCCAGCAATTCTTCCTCCACTGGGGTCTGGTTTGTTCTTTCCCACAATTGGTTGTTGCTAATAGTGTCTGACCAACGGATCCTAAGTATTTTGCGTCGACAAATGTTAATAAACACCTGTATTTTCTGGATGATGGCTTTTGTAGTTCTCCAGGTTTCCGCCCCATACATCAGAACTATCTTGACATTTGTGTTGAAAATTCTGACCTTTTTGTTGGTTAACAGTTGACGTTTTATTCACTACAAATTTAATTAGATATATATATTAAACTTTTAGGTATAAAAAACTATTTCAGTTTCTCAGTAATAGCGGGTTTGTGTAGGGTACTGAAAGTTTTTGACATCATGCATCAACCCAAGTTAGACAACCATTGAAAATAAGGGACTATTGAATAGATGGTTGGTCCTAGTATGAGACTTCTAACTGGCAGTGTGCATCCACTAAATCACTATGGATAGAACCCCAGGCTTTTAAATCTTTCAAGTGTTTAATCTTCGAAACAATGAAACGATATCTAGTGGTTCATATTGTAATTTCAGTTAATTCGCGATATTAAGTAAACATCATCCATCACAAACTACCCCCTTCACTCTCCATATAGCTGAACTTCACTGATCATGGGACTTCATTAGAATTCATGAGTTACCTCTCAAAATGAGTCACTAGTGAAGTTAGGAGTTAGCGCGTGATACCGAAGGTCCTAGGTTCGAGCTTCATAGTGGGGTCATTGATGCACACTTCTGATGAATTCCATGCTAAGACTGAATATCAGTTGCCCAGTACTTCCTGGTTTTCAATAGTTGTCTAGCTTAGATCAATGAGTGATATCAATAACATTTTAATTTCTTTCGAAAAAAGTAAATAAACATTATCATAAATTTCTTACAGGGAGATATTATTTTTTATACATAAACAACATAAAGAGGAAAAAAAGGTAATCGGATATTCAAATATCCTTCAATTACATTACATCAGTGTAATCATCAAAACTTTTCTATTTCATCTTCTGAAATCTATACAAGACAGAAAATACATTGATTACATTTCAACTAAGTGTAATTTTATAAAATGGTGTTGCTATCTAACTTAAGTTCAAACTCGACTCAATCCCGTGATGATCTTGATATGTATCCACCGGTGGATGCCAGCTCAGTGGTTTAGTGGTTAAGTGCTCGCGCGCGAAACCAGTAGGTCCTGGGTTCGAATTTCGCAGGGGGCGAGGTCGTGGATGCGCGCTACTGAGGAGTCCCACAATAAGACGAAATGGCCATCCAATGCTCCCGGGTTTTCCATGGTGATCTAGCTTCATTTGACTCGTGATCTTTAACCACTGAAATTACTATAATATCTACAAAACCCATCTGATACAAATTAAACGGAATTAAACTAGGAGCTAATTCATGATTTAATTTACTGTTTTGTTTATATTTGGTGAAATAAAACTCTTGTTCATTTGCTTCAAAATAATTAAAAATCTGATTCAGTTCATAGTTTTAATGAGACCCAGACTTTATCGGCAAGCACATCTATCGTTGAGTGAATAAAATATAGTCCTAATGTGTAATGATTCAGTCACAATGTCCCAATCTGTGTTAGTTATCATTAGTTCCCTCCTAAGTTACTCTCAACGGTTATGTACATTTAAATTAGGACTATTACGCAATAACGTGATAAGATTCGGTATAAATAATGAAATACAGGCGAACAAATAGTGAAAATTCATGATTAACCAAATTCTAACCTCATCAGGAATTACACATGAACCAATCAGTAGTATTCGATTATTGACTGGTACATCATGAATTGATATGTTGTAAATGTTAAGTGTAGGATTTTAACCCAAATTATATGTCTGCTATAATATATGGGTATTCCATGCTCTATCCCTGGGTAAGCATTAAGAAGAGATTTTATAACAGGGGGAATCGAATTTCGAGTCTTCATTTACCTTCAGTGATTTGTTACCTGGTGTCAACGTATGATGGAAATCATCTTTCAGATGAAAAAAATAATAGTCTCATTAAATCTTAGATCAGAGATTATATAATCTGTGAATGTTGAGTTATCTCACAGGGAACACCCGTGTCCTCAAGATTACAGCTATTACTTGATGACGAGTGGTCAGAAGGATTTTCAGCTGTCTAATTCGAAATATTTACCATCAAAGTGAGTGTAATTTTTCTTAAATCAAAAGTTTACAGTAAATATTCCATTTAAAGATAGTCTACATAACTTTAATCTAAGGATTTTTGAAAGCCAAGAGACACTGGATGATTATTAAGTTTTTTCGCATAGAACTTTTCAGTAGCTATACATATCCTTAACACTGCTAGGTCTCTTTAAGCAGAGATGGATGGTGATTAGGAATGGAATCAAGAACGCGTATTTCATCCTATTCAGGACACATCAGTTAGACATATCTGCATTCAGAGTTGATGTTTATTTAAGCATTCGAACTTTGTGCCTCGCATTTCAAACGCCGATGCATCACCCATTCAACTACTGAGTTCAGATAATCACCATCCTATGCAATAGGGTGGATTTTAATTCATATTCTTGATTATTTGAATTTTCCCATTTGCGCTTAGGACTGGACTTATTAGCTAACTGCATAATGCGATGGTATTTAAAGCGAAAGGCACTGGGCTTGAGTACGAGCATGAATATCAGTTCGGATTCAATTACATTCAAATGACAAGTCACAAGTAAGACCAAAAATACATCCTAGATCCCTCTATTAGCTACCATTCACCTTTGTTTATAATCTCTTTGAACTAATGATAAAATTGAGGCAAATCACCCAAAATACATAAATCCCAATTTCAATCCTAAACATCAATAGGAAGATTCAAACAGCTGATACAAAAGAGATTATTCGGTCTTGCAATGAGTATATTACTTTAAGAAGATTGATTTGATATCCAATGTCCTACCCCATCCATCTACCTTATATTTATTCTTTTTATTAAGAGGAGAACATTCGTACCTTCTCTATTGAACTAAATCAATAGAAAGAAAAGACAACTATTCATGTAACAAAAATGATAGATGAAATAACATATGAGAATGAATAATCACATAATGAAGTCCTGACTACTTAATTGAAAAAAAAAGTAACAATTAAGTTATTTATTGACAAAATGTATACAATATAATTTATTTTCATGATGATCAAGATAATAATGATGGTTTAGTCTATGTCATTTCATATTAATCTCTTCTGTGAACAGAATAAAAATAGTAACGAGACAATACACATACATGGAGTGATCAACACACACACACACACATACACATAGAGTAGATTATGAAAAATCATAATAATAATAATAATAATAATAATAATAATAATAATAACAAGGGGATTAATGTGAAGTAACACATTCAATGTAAATAACAATTTAAGTGGCAATGACATTGGTGGTGTTAATGTTGTTCGAACGTGCTACTTGATTGTCCTGCTCTATGATGTGTTTTTTTCCTGACACATTTTCCTTTGTTATATATGTTATTAATTTATTCTATTGTTCAAACCATGGCTTATTTTTTGACTAAACTAAAGATAAAAGATAAGTTAGAAGTACATGTATGTGCACTGTGTGTGTAAGAATAAAGATGAAATGAACAGTTGAAGAGGAAACAAACCAACCGTTCCTACTTTCATCATCATCATCATCATCATCATCATCATCATCATCATCATCATCATCATCATCATCATCATCATCATCATCATCATCATCATCATCATCATCATCATCATCATCATCATCATCATCATCATCATCATCATCATCATCATCATCATCATCATCATCATCATCATCATCATCATCATCATCATCATCATCATCATCATCATCATCATCATCATCATCATCAACAACAACAACAACAACAACATTTTATGCACTTGAAACGAAAGAAAGAAAAATGAAGAACGGATAAACGCCAACAATCAAATGATTTAGAGAGGAAATACTGATGCTGCATAAAACAAATCGTAATGATTGACTGTGTTTGAATTTTGTACAAAGTAATTGTAAAACATTCTAAGTTCATTTGTTATTGTTTGTTTGAATCTTCCCTTTGATATCTAGGACAGAAATTGATCAGCCTCATGTCGGCATATGTGCATACTGTGCGTATTGCTTTAATTCACAAGCTTTATAAGCAAAGATAGTTAATGGTTAGCAGTGAAATCCGAGACACACGTTTGGGACTCGTCAACTGGATGTACCTGGAAATGAGAGTTGATGTTCACTCTGGGACTCGGACCCAATACCGTCCGCTTCAAACACCATCACACTATCCACTTAGCTACTGAGTCCTGATAGACACTTGCTTGTGCGATGGGGTAAAGTTTAAATTCACTGGGTATTGTTTGTTTGAATCTTCCCATTGATGTCTAGGACTGCAGTTGGTCAATGTATTTTATGTGTATTATTTGTTTAGCTACACGTTTGTCCGTATTTGTTTGTGTGGTTGAGTACATGTGTCTACATAACTATAAGTCATTTACCTTCCATCTTATAACAGAATCATTGAGATCTACGTTAATTAAATTATTATCAGAATGAGAATTTGTGGAGATCGTAATAATTTTAATCGTTGAATTCATGAGTCGATTTAAGCTAGACCACCACTGAAAATCTGGAAGACTTGGACAGCCGTTTCGTCCTAGTATGAGACTCCTCACCAGTGCACATCCACGATCCCCTCAATAAAGGGACTCCAACCCATAACTTTCGGTCTCACATGTGAACGCTTAACCCCTAAACTACTGAGCCGATATCCAACAGTGTTAATGTCTGATCAATAAATTTACCGAATTCACATATTATATGTGTCGTAACATGAGTTGATTATATATTAAGTATTTTCGATTCAAATAGAATTAATGTATACATCACATAAAGGTCTTCGTAAATTCAACTTCAACGTGTTAGTTCAAGGTAAAGATTGCAGTTTATTTGGGTTAATTAATTAATTGTTAAAAATTTGAGGGTGATTAAAGGTTGTCAGTAGGAAAACTTGTTCTGTTTGGGTTTCCTACCAGTTGAAACTCATCAGCAAGTGGTATCTGTATTCTTGAGGAGACAGGATTTGTAACCAGGTCTCCTAAATTTATCATCTGAGACTGCCACTGAGACATTCGGACCATGGCTGAAATAGTTATACCACATGATCACTGAGTACTAGGCAATATCAAGTTTATCTAGTTCCTTTAATGCCGATCGAATTCTGCCGATTAAGATCACAGATAAGCTTCATTTCATAGTTCCCGCCTTTTGTATTCTGTTCATTTTTATATGAAAGGGCTTATAATAGTACCTGATCACTGAAACCAAAGTAGATAAAGCCAGTTTTCATTCTTCCCATCATTGGTTTGAATTTGATTAATATAAGTGCAAAACTTTTTTTAACCTTTATTCTACACATAATTCAATCAAACTTAAACAATATTTACATATTTTAGAGTTGTTATGTAAGCTGAGCTAAACGGTTTAATTGTAAAACCTAAATTATCTTTCTAGACAACGTCACCGCCGATTACCTGCTTCAAATAAGAGTAAACTAGTTACTTATTCCACATTTGAACCCTCAATAGGTTTTGATGACGGTCTCTGTGACTGGTCTGAAAGAATAATGAAAACTTCACAATTAAAACCATTCAGGATAAAGAAAACATTTACAAAATCTTCTTCATTGTTTATATATGTATAGTTGATTCTTGTCAATGAGAATATAAAGTGAAACGAAATTGAAGTCCTAGATTCCATTACTGGTCACGTTACATTTATGCTACGAGACAGACTGTGTTACACTCATCTATCCACATAAACAACTTTGAAGTAACACTAACTGATAATATTTGGCATATTTGAAAACAAAATGAGAACATTTATCCAAAATATAGAACACAAGTTTATCAACACATAGGCATAGAATAATTCAGTGTAGTTAATACTCTCTCTCCCTCTCTCTCTCTCTCTCTAAAGTGTTTTACACTCTTTACATATTCAAAGTGGGAAGAAAACAATCGACAGCCTATCGTTGCTCTAAAGAAAAGAGTATAAAAAACATAAATCAATATTTGTCCTGAGTGAATTTAATTTCTTTTATGATAAACGAATAAACAATAAAATAACCAAAGCAAAAACACTTTAAATTGAGAATAAACAAACAAAGAAAATGGTAAACAATTCGTTATTTATATGATTTCATTAATATAGGAGGATTTATAGAGATTGTAGAATATTCATCGTTTGAATCACGACTCAATCTTAATTTGACTACCACTGAAAACCATAAAGTATTGAACATCTATTTCATTGTAATATGAGACTCTTGACCAGTTGTCGGGGAAGTTAGATCCTCAGAACTTACTTAGGAAAGGACCTAATTTTGTAATTTTATTTAGAAAATTTGAATTTCTTTGTTTTCGCGCCAAAGGCGCTCTTGTCACCTTCATATCGTATTTCTCACTGGGAAATATCTTAAATGCTATTGGTCCGTTGCGTCTTTTAGTATGCTATTTGGTAACTCTCCCCAAGGACGGTTTTGCACTGTATATATTTGTTTTGAATCGTGTTCGTCGGGATCTCTCGTTTCTGGCTGTTTTGCAGAATATACTTCCCATTCAAGCTTGGACTTCTCCCTCTAGTTAGTAGGGCTGGGAGGCATCAATAACTAGCTTACTGGTCTTTGGTCACCGAGTATGTTCTCGTTCGCAGATTAAGTGAACTCGTGATAGCTTTAAACCTAGCACCAGTGCAGTCGCAACCCTCACCACGTGGAGTCGAACTCAGGGCTTTCAGTCTTATATAAATCACTGGCCTTGCTATCCAATGGTATACATGTCTAACTCCAATATTAGACAATCATCTTCGATTTTCTGTTGGTAGATATCTATCTCACACTTAATATAGTTCAACTTCACTGGTCTCAATTTCTCATCAGAACTCCTGAGAACTGCATTTAGAAGCTTATCATTAGCAAATACATGGGAAATTAAAAAAAAAAGAATTAGTCAAGATTTCTATTTAGACTTTTATTCATCAGCTCCTAATATTCTCTTTCTTTCATACTGTTTAGTATCTTTCAGAAACCCATTCAATCGCTTGTTTTCCATTCTCATTTATTCTTAATTAGAAACAAAACTCAATTTGTACGCATTGTTTACACATATATATGATAAAAACTCTATATATAAGATGTTTACATTTCTCTAATTCATGAGACTTGTTAAAATCTAATGAGTTTTAGAAAGTTCATTGGCTTTTCTAGGTATATTACCAGTTATCTTTTTTTTTTTTTTGGTTTTTACAAGTTTATTATTACATACAAAGTAAACAGAACTCAGGATTCCGTAAGGATAGATCGTGTACAGACGAAATCGCAACTCTACGGATCATTGTGGAACAATCAATTGAATGGAATTCATCACTCTACATCAACTTCATTGACTACGAAAAGGCATTTGATAGCATGGACGGAACAACACTATGGAAGCTTCTTCGATACTACGGCGTGCCTCACAAGATAGTCAATATCATACAGAACTCATATGATGGATTAAACTGCAAAATTGTGCATGGAAGACAATTAGCAAGCTCTTTCGAGGTAGAGACCGGTGTCAGGCAAGGTTGCTTACTCTTACCCTTTCTCTTTCTCCTGGTGATCGACTGAATCAAGTAGTCGTCAACATCTGAAGGGAAGCACGGGATACAATGGACATCTAGGATGCAGTTGGATGATCTAGACTTCGCAGACGATCTGGCCTTTCTATCCCAAACGCAACAACAGATGCAGGAGAAGACGGACAGTGTGGCAGCAGCCTCAGCAGCAGTAGGTCTCAATATACACAAAGGAAAAAGCAGGATTCTCCGATACAACACAAAATGCACCAATCCAAACACAATGGACGGAGAAGATTTGGAAGATGTAAAAACCTTTACATATTCGGGTAGCATCATTAATGAACATGGTGGGTCTGATGCAGATGTGAAGGCGCGGATCGGCAAAGCAAGAGCAACGTATTTACAACTGAAGAACATCTGGAACTCAAAGCAACTGTCAACCAACACCAAGGTCAGGATTTTCAATACAAATGTCAAGACAGTTATACTGTATGGGGCGGAAACCTGGAGAACTACGAAAGCCATCATCCAGAAGATACAGGTGTTTATTAACAGTTGTCTACGCAAAGCACTTCAGATCCGTTGGCTAAACACTATCAACAACAACCTACTGTGGGAGAGAACAAACCAGATCCCAGCGGAGGAAGAAATCAGGAAGAAGCGCTGGAAGTGGATAGGACATACATTGAGGAAAGCATCCAACTGCATCACAAGACAAGCCCTCACATGGAATCCTCAAGGCCAAAGGAAAAGAGAATGACCAAACAACACATTACGCCAAGAAATGGAGACAAACATGAGAAGAATGAACAAGAATTGGATCGAACTAGAAAAGAAAGCCTACGACTGTGAGTGTGTTGGAGAATGGTGGTCGGCGGCCTATGCTCCATTAGGAGTAACAGGCGTAAGTAAGTAAGTAAGTAAGTAAGTAAACAGAACTAAGAAATTATTGGTTCCCGTATGATGTAACAAACGATCTGTTTCACAGCAGTTGACATTTGGTATGTTTAATATCCCCATTTTTAAGATATGAAGATGAAAAGCAACTTCTTTTCTAATGGTTTTAAACATTATGAACACTATACAGAAGTATTTCTACCACGTAATCATCTTTAAATTTCGTACAATAAACTCGGAAATACCCCCTGTTTATTTCCTCATCTATATATTATGTTTTTACTGAAATGTCTATTATAAAATAACATTCACTATTCATGGAATCCTTCTTATGGAAATGATCAAGTGAAGCTGTATGAAAGATTCAATTATCAACAGCAATAACACTATATCATTTCAAAAAATAAA